AGAGAAAAATGAAACAAAACACTAATTTTGAAAACCCAATATATGCGGAGGTATTGCTTAATATTGTATAATTCTATTTTTCAGCTAATGTACTGTTGGACTTTGATCTTGCTTTCATAGGATAAAGATTATGGGTAGATTCTGCTGCTAAGTGAAGCAGCACAGAATTTCCAGCCCAGGTCAAGGTAGGACTGAAGTAGTTTTGAGAAAAGTTGTAAGGTCTTGTGGAGAATGAGGTGTTCGGCAGGTATCCAGCTCAGGCAGCACAGCTGCATTGCCCACATCTCTGCTTTCCCAGCCCAAGCACTGCGGTCCGCTCCTGCTCCAGGATCTCAGGAGCTACTTTCAGCTTGCTGGTGCATTCTGGCACAGCTCAGGGACCCAGCGCAAGTGAGAGGCTATTGTACTGCACTAGGACTGATGTGTCTATTTCTGCCCTCTCAGTCCTGGTTTCAGCACTGCACAAAAATTCAATAGCACTGTGTACTGCAGCTCTGTTTCTATACCAGCCCTATTTTTTTCATCCATACAGTTGGATGAGACAGTTCTTTTAAGATGGTGTGCCAGTGGCTGGTATGTTTGCTGGAGCAATTCTCCCCTGACTTGGGTATGAAGGTTTGGAGTTCTACTGACTTAAGCCAGTAATTCCAGCCCTCTTCATCTTACAGTTTAAAATTTCCAGATGGCCTAAGTCACTTAAGAATCTCAGTCCTACGGTCACATGACTAAAACTAGCTGCCTTTTATGAAGAGTTTAGGTTTCTAATGCTTGAACAAGGTGAGAGAATGTTCAGGAAGCCAGGGATTCATTTTCCCGACATTAATGAATGTAACTATTTACAAACAGTAGTAGTGCCAATGTTATCTACATTCATGTATGTACATATAGACATAGCAAGCTAGTCCTGACATTAAGCATTAAAATAGAAGTCCCAGTGTGTGGAATAAGTTTGTAGTAGTGTATTTACTCAGCTGTACCATCTGAGGTGAAATTAGCATTTCATTTTGTTATAGGTGGTAATTTGCAGAAATAACTTATGCCATGACACTTGACTTTAGCAAAATACTTGGATATTTATTTAACATTTCTGAAAGTTAAAGTTGGATGTTTTGTACATTAGAATCTAAACTTGGATTTTTGTTTCAGATGGAAAAGGAACAGCAACAGGACACAGAAAATGTCCCTACCCCTTCTCCTTCACTGCCTCCCAAGATTACGCTGAAGAGAGACCAACCATTAGCTTATACAGCAACAGAGGATACATTTAAAGACACCGCCAATCTTGTTAAAGAGGACTCTGTGGTATAACTAGGTAACTGATTTAGGGAAAATTAGACACATCCATTTGCACATATATTTTTTATAAACAGAAGAGTAAGGTTCACATTCAAATGCTTTATAAAAATATATACATCTCTTAGCCAATGGCTGGAGAGGTATGTTGAAACTATGCCTTGTTTTTTGACAAATGCCAATTTCTATTTTTATGAACAATTATCATGATGTACTATATGTATATCTTTGCACTGAAGCTGTCTGAAAGTAATGTTATAAATATATTGTACATTTGTAAATTTTTGAAGGATTATCTTGTTCGGTGATGTTGCTAGTAGAAATCTGTATGCAATTGGTCATATCTTTAGGGATAAATTCATTATATAAATGCTTAAACTAAAAAAGAACCAAACAAGGCAAATAGAGGAACATTACTGATTTACAGGATCTTTAGAGTATATATTTATAACAGCACCTTTTAAAACTTCTACTGGTGCTCTGGGCGCCTTTACCACCTATTATATACTACTGTATGTAAAAATGGGTGTCTCTGTTTATCTTGTGTTAAACAAAAGATGGAAGGGTCAATGCAGCATCATTATGCTGAATGGTTACCTGTGCAAAATGTTGCTCTTATAGTATTTTAACTGCCTGAGATAAAATAATTTCCTCTCAATCCATAAGACACATACTTTTCCTCTAGGTTCCAATTAACACCATTCCATTAATAGTGCTCTTAAAAAGATCTGATATATTTAGATTTTAGTGCCACGAGTACTTAATTTAATGAGATTTTCTCTTGCTCATCGATGGAATAGCTCTGTTCTTGGCTGGAGTCTCTGGAAGTAATTTGTAGTGTTAAATGACATAGCTAGATTTGTATAACAGCTTATTTTCAAACAGCAAAATATGAGAGATATTGGTTCATTTAAGAAATTATTCAGGTTTTTAAATGTGAAAATTTAATTTTATTGACTATTTATTTCCTGAGGTGGACATTAATAGAAAGGGAAACAATTTCTACTAATGCAGACTTTGTAGTTACCTGGTTATCTCTATAACCTTCCATCAGAATTGACTGTACATCTTATTAGCTTTTCTATTAATCAGCCAAGGTAGTTTCCATAACATGAACCATTTGAGGAAACTCCAAGTACCACTGCAGGAACATGTTATTCAGCATTCCTGGCTAGTTAGTCATATAAATTAAAGATTCCTAAAGTTATAATCATTGAGACTTCTGCTATTTGATTGTTTTATATCTGAGTTCTCAAGATATATACTATTTCTAATTAGAATGCTTATAATTACTTTGTAACATACTTTGATTAGAAAAGACAACTGGAAAATGATGCTGCTGAATAAATCTAATAAATGTATTATTTTATCACATCCTTATTCCATAATTTGTGTCAAGGTTTCATGTACTTTTTCAGTTGTGGAGACTTCAGTGCACTCTGAGATGAAAACAACAGTGCTTTATCTGAAGTCAAATAAGAATAGTGCTTACTGCTTCACACAACTATCTAAAGTTCTTGATATAGCATCACTGACATCATATCACTGTAAGTGTGAAAACTGCCCATGACACACATTAAATAAACTGGTCCTTGAAACAGGAAACTCTTATTATTGATTGTAAGAGACTGACTATCAAGGTAGTATGGACATAAGCATTTAAAATCTTAGTTCAATTAACTTCCATATCTAAGTGCTTTAACGTAGAAAATTCCTTAGAATCTGAGACACAGCATACATGTCTGTAAGGCTATGAGAAAGGATTGCTTTGAAAGGCAATTTGCTGTTCTTAAGGAGAGAGTTCACAATGGTTTTTAAAGAGAGAAGGCAGGGCTAACATTTCCACAAGACTCCCCTCTGGTTGCATACCACAGGAAAAAGTAGCATCAGTTTTGTGAATAGTCTTTGTCAACAGAAACATTTGGAACCAGTTTTGGCGAAAACTGCTAAAATGTCAGCCATGTATCAGAGATACTTTTTCCCCCCCCATAACAATTTTAACTTTTCAGATGTTGAAGAAAACCATCCCTGGGATACTGTATAGATAGGTAGTATGTAGATTTGATTGTTTAACATACCTGATGGTGAAGGATTCCTAAGCTTCAGCTGGGCTTCTTCCTCTCAGTGGAATACCACAATGTACCCTTCTGATTATATAAAATTTAATTTTTGGTTCTTTGTTCAACAGAAGCTTTAGATTCTATTCCAAACTTAGTTTTTCACTTGTATTCTTTTTCCCTTATGAGGACAGTCCCTGGTTGGATTCTGAATTCTGGACTCATTCTGTTTCAAAGAAGGCGGCTGTTTTTTTTGAGATTTCAGCACCTCTCTGTAATCCGCCACTATAGGGCTGATAAATCATACAATTGTTTTTTCATGTACATTCTATTTACAGCTGTTAAGCCAGGTAGAACTATCTCTCTGCAGGTATTTATCATAAAATGAGGTAAAATAAATGTATTTTTGAAGCCCTTTGCCAGAGAACAAAACCTCAATGACTTAAAGGTTACTAAACACTTTTTACATTCTGTCCCTTTCTTATGCATGCACAAACACACACACATACACACACGCCCTCTCTCATGCAGAGAGTGATGAAAATCCTTTTCTTACATTTGGAGTTCTGACCTGCACATGGTATTTTTGCAAGCTTAATTGAATTGCATGTTAATGATTAATCACCAGTGTAGCTTTTTAGCAAATAAAACCTTTACCCCTTCAATTTTAATATCTCTAGGAACACCAGTTTGTCAGCCTCTGGCCAACAGTTTAACAGATAGAACTAGTGTACAAGAGGCACAGTAACCTCAACTAACATTTTGCCATTCTGAACACACTCTTCCTACAGTCAAGCTAATTTGCCATAGCATATGCTAATGACCTGTTTTATCTAATGAGTGAAATAATCATCCTTTTAACTTGCAAAGTACGCTGAGGACAAAAGAAATGTGAATGTATATTATTTTTAATATTTTCCTCAAACTATACTAATATTAGGAAGAAAGTCAAAATATAAGTTTGAATACTCTGTTTGCATAGTAACAGAGTGCGATGTAGTTTTGATTTTCCCTGTAATTGCATATCTGTAAAATAGCTTGTGTTTTATCTCTACACAGTTGAATAGTTAGGCGATTAGATGTGGTCAAATACTGCAATTGTAATTTTTTGAATATGTTGCAATAGCTGGGCTTTTTTATTATTTGATTTTGTGTCTTGTGTTCAGAAGCTTGTGAAGTTTAGCAACTGCTGAACATGACCATGAACAAACTGCCCATGAAACAGATGTCTAAATCTGACTAAATCCATTCTGTAAGGTTCTGAAAGGCCATAGTTTTATTTCAAGTTCACTAGCAGTCTATATGTTGATGAAGTCTACTTGAAAAACTGATTCTTTTAGTGATTTTATTTTTCTTATTTAAAAATTTTTTATTGGGTGAGTAGTATTAACTAGGTTTGTAGCTGAATAACTTATGACTGCAGATCCTATAGAGGTATCATTTCTGAGCATAAAAAAAAAAGACCTTAAAAAACATGCTGGATTTACTACAAGCCTATCTGCAAACTCAGAAATTCCAGGTAAAGAGGGGTGGGGGGTAGAGAAAGTGTCTTCTGAAAGGAGTTTAGTAGTCTAGTAACTGGTAAAGAAGAGGACGTCTGGTTTTGACAGGATTAATATTTATTTCTGCAGAGCTGATACTGGTTTAATACTAAATGTTAATTAGAACTCCAGGAACTGATCTTCCACTAGCTGCTGGAGCTGGAAACATCATACGCAGCAGCATGTCAGATAAACAGCTTGGGGCATAGGAGAGAAATAGCCAAAAGAACTTTGCATCCCATCCAGCTCCGTATCGTGTCCCTGGGTACTTTGCTATCAGGGCATGTTCCATGCATTTTATGACCTTAGAAATATCAGAGTCACACCGTCTTTTCACTGATGATCTTTGAGCTTTTATATCTGCAAAGAAGAAAATAAGCCTGAAAGCATTTATATGCAACATGCTCTGCAAGAGTATTCTTTATATTCAAAGGTTTGGCCACAGCTTCAGGCTTGCTTTAAACTACTGGCTCAAGTACTGAGAGCAGTATAGCTACAGCAAAGCAGAGACCAGAAAGGCTGCGGAACACGCAAAAGCCTGGTAAACAGAAACCTCCCTGGCCCATATTGTGAGCGAGATATTCCCTACAGTAAGTGCAGTGTGACACAACACAACTTTTCAGATATCAGTAAGCCATAAACTTAGCATATGGTCATAGCAATTCATTCCCCCTGGGCATTCTGCCTCTAAGTATAGAGGGACTAAGGATGGTAGCATGACATCACATCTCACTGATCTTATATGGGAACTAATAGCACAGGCCTCATCTAAGATACACGTAGTCCAGACCAGTCAGCCATGGATTCTTAACAAATGTTAATGAAGCCCAGCAAACGTTCACGGAATCACAGATTGGTTGAGGTTGGAAGGGACCTCTGGTCCAACCCCCCCTGCTCAAGATGGGTCACCTACACCAGGTTGCCCAGGACCATGTCCAGATGGCTTTTCAATATCTCCAAGGATGGAGACTCCACAACCTCCCTGGGCAACCTGTGCCAGTGCTTAGTCACCCTTACAGTAAAAATGTGTTTCCTGATGTTCAGCAGGAACATCCTGTGTTTCACTGTGTGCCCATTGCCTCAGGTCCTGTCCCTGGGCACCACTGAAAAAAGCCGGGCTCTGTTGTCTTTACAACCTCGCTTCAGGTATTTATATATGTTGATAATATCCTGCTGAGCTTTCATACAGTCCCTTTTCTACTTACATTCAACAAAGTATTTTTCTCCGTAGGAGTCCCTGATCTCAGGAGTCAGTCTGTTCCAAAGTCTTAAGAGGTATTTCTCGATGACATCTGAATTAACTACTCCTGCCTTAAAGAAACCATGCTCAACAATGCTTACTTTCACTCCAAAATGCTGCATCTCTATCCTAAAAGAAAAAAAAAAAAAAATCACCATCCTTGACCACCCAATAATGGCATAACCATTAAATATAAGTAAGTTGAAAGTCTGTCACATAAATGAATATTTAAGACTTTGATTCTTATCTTCAAATGTCAGAATGATTTTGAGATGTTCAAATTAGCTTCATAGCAATGTACCTGTCCTGTAAAAGCACAGCAGGCAATTAACTCTGAAGGAAAAAAAGTAGTGTCAGTTAGATTCACAGCTTTCTGTGTGGTTTATGTTGGACTGATGCAAAGGATGCAGCAGCCAGCTGCATCTTAGCCATGTATTATCAGATTAAAACTTTTGACTATTTCAAATGCTGTGTTGCATTGTTTCAGCAGGAACAGATTATTAAAGTGCCTGGGAAAAAGTAGAAGTGAGCTAATTCAAGAGTTAGCTAATTCTAATCCTTTCAATTGGATTAGAACTTTATTCTCCATTGTATGGTTAAATGGTGATGGTGAAGAGATTAAAGGTTAGTGTGTTTTCTGGTAGCCTGGTTCCCTCTATGTAATTTTGAGTTGCAGTGCAACTCCTTTGGGATGAAAATGGCCTCTTTGTTTTGCTGAGCAGCTCAAGAGACCCAGGCAACTACATTCCAAAGTGTGCAAAGGAATGGACCATGTATACAATAGCCATTATATTTCCTTGGGGCATATAATTTCTTTATATGAGCATTCATAATGGTTTGGAACCAACTTTCCTAGTCCTTGTGAAGACCTGACTCGCCGGGCTAGGCCTTAGCCTTCTCAAGGCAGTACAACACAACTGGCTTCAGTGAAGGTTGTGCAGCTTAATTTTCTGAAGTTATGAGTACCTTCGGTAATGTGGTTGCTGCCTGGAATTGCCTAGCTCAGATTGTTGTGGAGTATTAGAGCAAAATAAAATGGGTTGTAAATAGGCAAGTACAACTGAGTACAACTTGCCCAGGAAACCCTGGGTGTCTGACCAGGTTATACTGTTGATTTACATTTTGTGTATGCAGTGGATTCACATGCCCAAAAGCTGCATGCTAGCCATTTGTCCAGGATATGAAAATTTTTCCCACTGCAGTTTCCTGGTGAGTCTGTTCATAGTACAGAAGATTGAAATCCCAAACAAGTGACCAACATCCTCTTATTTTCCTTTCCCCCTTTAGGCAAGATTTCCAGAGAGAAAACAAGAGGGGCGAACATAGAGTCACCCTTCCTCAGCACATCTGGAATTTGTTCTTGGATCCATGCATGTATTTCTAGCTACTCACCGTAAAGTGTCAGAGAAAGCTTCCATGCCCCATTTGGACAGTGTGTAGCCACCCCCTACAAAAGCCGTGAGGCCTTTGGTGTTAATTAGATTGACTACTCTTCCCTTAGCTTTTTTCAGAAGTGGCAGAAGCTTGAGTGTGATTTCAATCAATCCCAGCAGACTAACATCCAGCACTGAGTGGAAGTCTTCAATCCTCAGCCAGTCAGTGGGTGCTATAGGTGCTGTTTCTTCAGTGTTGCTCACCAAGCCAAAAAGCCCTAAGAGGATTACAAACCCATTTATTTCAGTATGTGGTAATATCTTACCCTAGAGTTTCATATGTAGCATTGGGAACTAAGCACACAGTCTGCAAAAACTTCAGTGACAGGAGTTCAGTTGTCTGGGGTTTGCTTGTATGATCTACTCTGTACACCTGGCAAAATTTGCTGAAGGCCTTAGGCAATGACTCTAAAAGAGCATGGGTAAAGTATTAAAGGAAAACTATTTTGGTTGGAGATATAGGCCACCATACCGGGCTTTATTATCCAGAACTGCTCAAGTATGTGGGCTCCTAATACACACTTACATTCTTGTGAAAATCAAATAGTCTACATAAAAGTGGAGAGACTGACTTTTCTGGGTTGGGGTCTAAAGTTCTGAACCAGACATGCAGTATTAGTCAATGCTTCTGAAAATATTAGCTTAACCCTCTGTATTGATAATGCTGCTTTACTACCTTGTAAATTACTTGAGGAACTTTAGATAAATAGTGACACTTCCAAGAGTTTGCTGAGGACAGCCTGCACCTGAAGGGAGAGGCCGAAAGTCCAGTACTCAGCCTCTGTAAAGAGTTTCTCAGACTGAGGTGACAGCAGTGGTTACACTGACCAAGAACGTGTGGCTTTCCACAAGCTGGAAGCAGGGGCCTGCCAGAGGAGGTAAGTGCTAATAATTATGTTGTCCTTGCCCTCAATCACTGCATTCAAGAATGGTCTGGAATGCTCATGATGAGGCCAACAGTGTTTTATAAGCTTTGAGGAGAAAGTCCTACTGGTAGAAGGTATGTGTTTTGCTGTTTTAGCTAGTTAATTAATTAACAAGCCTACTGAATATTTGGTATAACTGCGTGTTATGGCTGGTAGTTGCAGTGCTGCAATCCCCTTTGGTGGCCCTTAACAATGTCTAGTCTGAGCGAACGGTGCTGAGAAAGAAACATGTATTGTCACAGTTGAATAAATTTACCACGCAGATCTTTTTACCACCCTTTGCCAAAATCAACACTTAAGTCTTGTTTTTTAACTCCACTCGTAGGTATCCAAGTGTCCTGGTGTCGGCTGGATAGAATTAATTTTCTTCCTTAGTAGCTGGTATAGTGCTGTGTTTTAGATTTTGGATGAGAATAATGTTGATAACCCACTGACGTTTTAGTTGTTGCTGAGCAGTGCCTACACTAAGTGAATGACTTTTCAGCTTCTCATACTGGCCTGCCAGCGAGAAGGCTGGGGGAGCACAAGAAGTTGAGAGGGGACACAGCCAGGACTGCTGAGCCAAACTGGCCAAAAGAATATTCTGTACCACATGATGTCATGCTGAACAATAAAATGGGAAGGAGTTGGCTGGGGGTTGGCGGCCCACTGCTGGGGGACTGGCTGGGCATCAGTCAGCGGGTGGTGAGCAATTGCATTGTGCATCACTTGGTTTGAATATTCTTTTATCATTATTGTTATTTTCCCTTTCTTTTTTTGTCCTATTAAACTGTCTTTATCTCAGCCCACGAGTTTTACCTTTTTTTCCGATTCTCTCCCCCATCCCACTGGGTGGGGGGTGAGCAAGCGGCTGTGTGGTGCTTAGTTGCTGCCTGGGGTTAAACCATGACACCAAGGACAAACTCTTCCTCTTTTAGACAAGTGCTCAGTGGTGTATGATAGCAGTAGTGGGAGCTACCTACGTAACAACTCTAAGAAAACTGGCTGAAAGGGCAAGTGTTTAACTGTTGGCAGTCAGTGCAGTTGTTGTTGTGTACAATGCAAAAATGGGGCTTACTCAGCCATGCAAAAACACTCTTCTGCTTACTACAGGAGGGCTGAAGGAGCCCTGCAGCAGCTGTTTTTAATTGGGTGGACTGGTTTTATTGTCAATAAAGTTCCTTCTGGTACCAGTTAGCACCTTCCCCTGACTGAGATTCTTCACCTGCACCAAAAAGAGTCTGAAAAACACACCTGGGAATGATCTGGTTTTAAAAGACAGAGCAATTGGATTTTTAGGCACCCTGTTGGTAAAAGCGAGGGGAAGTCCAAAAGTGTTGCTGGAGAGAATCTCTTCGAACTGGGAAATGACAGAACTGAGGACTGAATGCGTTTCATCAGTAAGATGAAAAATGCCTCTTTGGAGAGTGGAGAGGCACCAGAACTTTTAGCTAGACCAGATTTGGTTGTATTGAATCATTTTTCTGGGAAATTACCTTGCCACTTACCCTTGCCAGCTGTCTCTTCGGTCACAAACACCACAGCCCTGGCAATGCTGTTGGAGTCAGCTAAGTTCAGGTTCACTGTCTTCAGTGAGAGTGAGGAGCAGGACTGTAGCTCTATTCTTCCTTTTTCTGTGGCACATGCAGCAATGACACAAAATCCCCTTTTGTCAAGCCATTTAGCCAGTGACTTTCCAAGTCCAGTGTCACAGCTTGTTATGAAGACATGCTTTCCACTCAGGTTTCTCACTCTTTGACTGTCTCTGATGAGCCAGTAAATGACAAGACAAAGTATGGAAGCCAAAATTGCTACGTGCAGTGAGTCTGAAAGTGAGACCTACAAGCAAATAAGTTAATGATCTAGAAATGCAATGAAGCAAATGTGCTCAGCCAATCCCCCAACTTCCTCAGACACAATTCCCGTAAGGGGCTTTGTTTCTTCTCGTTGCAGCCCTTCCAGCTCACTGTAAGTTAGGGGAGAGCAGGGGTAGAAGCTTTGGCACAATGCGATCGCGATCCATGAATAATACGTGCCTTGACAAAACCTTCCCTATCTTCCTTTTCAAGAGATTTCCTCTGTTTTCAAGCTTTGCTGTCCAATCTTTCTAGTCAGCCCTGTCCTTTCAGGATGTTTCAGGCTGAAAGGAATGACTGCATCAGTTCTCACAGTAGTGTCTGGGGTTTTTTTGTGGGCGTTGGTGATTATTTGTGCTAATACCGGAGAGAAGAATTCCTCTGGGAAGAAGGATGACTCTCTTTGACCACCTGTATGATGCCACCCAGGCTGCTCTTCTAATCTGCAGCACAGAAGCAGAGTGACCCCAAGAACAACCAGAAAAGCCTAAACTGTAGTGGTGGGTCTGATGACTAATCTGGTATGTGACTCGTGTTCTGTGATGGTGAGTGCCCTTAGACAAGGTAGACTTTGGGGCAGTGCCTGAGTCTTCTGTCTCCTTCCTCATTGCCTGTTTAGCACTGATACACAGCACAGCAGAATACATTATACAGGAGGCGTGTTTGTGTAAAGAAATGGGGAAATGCATGGAGATGTTGCCCTCAAAAAAAAAAAAAGCACCGAGGGAACACAAGGTTTCCTAACTCTGGTGGGGAGGATGCTGTTTGCTTATTCCAAAACTTTTTCATAAATGTGGAATACAGTTGTTGCCATCTAAAGTCTTCATGACCGATTAGTGTTTTTCTATTTGTGTTTTTGTTTTGTGGAAGCATTAAACCAAAATAATTCATTAAAGACAATATTTATGAGAAGGCTGGTAAGCATTTCCAGACATCCTGATAAAAAGAAACTTTTTTACAGGTGCTAAGCAGGCACCTAGGCTCTAGTTACCTGCATATGTGTAGAGGTGCAGACATCTGGCCTTTAAAATGTGATTGTATTCAAAGAATGAAATGATAGTTTAAAAAAAAAAAGAATTTGTGATTATTTTTACATCCTAAAAGTACTCAAAGAGGAAGAGGTCTTTCTTCTCTAACATAGCTGTCTGAAGTTAAGCATTCATTTAGCTGATTTTTGTGTAACATCCTTGCTACCTTAAGACATGAATATTAAAGGAAGCCCAATGTATTAGGCCTGGTTGCTAGAGCCTGTCTGGTGTTCTTGTTCCTACTGAGTTCATGGAGTGATTTGGATTTATTCGGATTCTAAATTTTGCTGCCACCTCACCAAGTAGGAATGGAAGGAATCTCAGAATCTGATAGTGAATGAATGTTGGACTCTCATTAAATAATTAAATCAGTCACATAGCTGATAAATGACAACAAGTGACAACATTCATTGCCCCTTAATGATCCTATTTTACATAGTTGGGTGTCTCAGTAGTCATCAACATGGACTTCTGAGCTACTGATTAACATTCTCTTATTTTAAGCAAATGTATAGAGATAAGAGTTTGCTTCTCCTTCCACTGCAGTCTACAGGGAGGCTCCCACTGAATTTCTGGGGTGTTAGATTGGTCCCTGGGCTCCACTGGTTATTTTAGCAGCCCATCTTACTGTTGTTTTGAGGCTGATGTAATTGGCCCTCTAGTTTGGGTACTTCACTTAGATACCTGGCTTTTTTTTGCTGTAAATGTCCCCGTTAAGTCTCACAAGGATTGCAGTGTTCCTGAATGTGTGCACTTTGGAATCACCTTTGTGATGTTTCACTGAGTTGGTGACGTTTGTTTTCTGAGAGGGCTTACAGAGTGTGCCCTGTGACAAAGTGCCACTACAACTGTGTGAAAGAACTCAGGCTAATTGAGATTTCTGTGCTGTAAAATAAAGTCTGAAAACAGGATGTTGCAGCAGTCCATCATAGATACCCCTAGTCCATTTGCAATGATGTGCCAGGCAATGACATTTCCTTTGATTGCTGATTTAGAATTTGGAGCTGAGCTAGACACAAAGAGAGACAGGAGTTGCTACCAGCAGGCTCTTGTAACCCCCTGCCAATAAATCTCAGCAAGTTACTCATCAAGCTAGTGCTGTGATATCATTTTAGGACTCAATTAACCTTTTTCCCAATTCAAAATTAAATGAAATAATTAGAGATTTGGGGAAAAGATTAACCTAATTGGAAAGAGGAGCTGTAAATCACACCTTCCTTCCTTCCTTGGCTGTGCTGTAGGAAGGAAACAGTGGACAGTCAGCTTGCACTACTGGAAAGCAAATTAAATTTGAAACTGGGCTCTGTGGAGAAGTCCTGGAGTGTCTGGCCAGCATGCCTACTTGGCTCCTGTAAGAGAAACACCTGGGACAGCTCTGGTTAGCGTTAGTCCCTGTGTTTAGGTAGCAATAATTGGCACAGAAGCACTGTAAGACAAGGGGCTCTAGGGGCAACAGGTGACACGGCAGCACTCTCTGTGGAGCCTTGGCTGCTCCTCTCTCCCCTGTCAGCCCTGGGCCAGTGTTCCTAAGGCTGTAATCCCTAACCACCTAGTTCTCCGTGAGTACCAGTGCTCCTTCTCTGATAACGGATGGACATTTGGTGCTGAGCACCATGGTGGGTTTTGCTCTGCTGGAGTCTTCTGGCAGTATTTATTGTGCTAGATGATGTCATTGCTGCTGGAAGGAGTCTGGGGTCAGAATCAAAGGAAATAGTCTCAGTTAAAGTTTTCTTCCAAGAAAATTGTCTAGTTCTGTAAATGTACGATGATGTTATGCAAAATATTTCTTGTTTAATAATTGTGGAGCACTAAAAAAGCCACTTGTCTTCCAGGGGCATATTGATTTTGAAATAGCTGCCTGGAGTGGCAAAGAGTGTGTTTCCAGAGAAAATGTCAGCATGATATTTCAAGAGTATTGATATATCTTCATAAATATTGAATTCTGATTACTAATGTAGCCAGTAAATAGCTAAAGGCAAATTCTACTTTCCATTAAAACTTTGATATTTGCCTGGCAAATTGAGAACTCTTGGGATAGAGCCTGGCTTCTTATGCCTAGGCAAGTGCCATTTTAAAAGCAATCGATTTTAGAGAAAAGCAGCAATTCTACACCGAGAGCCCTTTAAGATCCTTAGACAACTGCAAAATACAGCATCCCTCTGCTTCCCTGCACTACAGGGAACAGAAGGACATAGACCATATTGAAGGGAGGTGTATTGTTTTACTCCCACAGCAAGTTTGCTTTGGTAGTTGTGCCAAAGAACGTCAGGTTGCGGTGAAGTTTGGGGTCTGGGTGTGCTTTGGATTCCTTCGTCTGCCACTGTGCTGGCAGTGCAAACCTCCAAAAGTCAGTGCTCCGCAGTGTGTTAGAGTGACCTGCCAGGCATGTTGAGGAAGAACTGCCAAGGGGAAATTTACGGACTGGGGTTCTTCAGAAACAGCACTCATGTAGCACTCAGTAGAAGGTTTAGATATATCAGACAATGCTCTGACAGATCACCCAACAGCTCTCCAGAGTCTAGGAAGTACAAACTTTAATAATTGGTCATCCTGCCAGACCTACAACCCCCCTGGTCTTCAGGTAACAGATTGAACAAATATGCAGGCACAAACACATCACGCCTACCACTCTTAGGTAAGCTATTCCTGCACATTGCGGGGCTTTGCACTTTTATTTCATGGAAAAGGAGTGCTTTTTCACATGCTGTGTAAAAATGTCAGTGTGATAATTCAGTTTGGTGGTCAACAGGTAACTTAAGATCTTCATTAATATGTCACCTTAAAAGAAATACATCTTCAAAGCCTCCCACTCAGCATTTTGCAGGACATGAATGTAGTCTGGTACAATGGGGGCTGATTTCTTTCTCAGCATGATTGTATCTTTCCTTTCATAGCTTCCACTTCAGATTTTTACCACAACATCGGTAAAAGACCCAGGAAAATAAATCCCTGTAAACTCTTAGGCAACTGACCCGTAATTGAAAATAAAGGATTAGAGAAAGATTCCAGATGTTGGGAAGAACATTTCTGAGTTAGCAGTTTATTCAGACCCTGTAGGTGCTTAGATAAGCAGCAATTGTTAAAATTACTCTCGAAAGGAAGGAACTGCATGTTCTCTCGTCTGTGCACTCAAAACCAAGTGCTTATTTGTTCTCTTAGCTATTCTGCAAATGCATATAATGGGTACTGCTCATTATAACGATAGACAGGAGTTCTGGTTTTGTGCCATTACTCACATTCCGGGGAGACATCTGCAAGCTCAGTCTATACCTCCAGGTGTTCACGAGTTGCCTTCACCAGTTATTTCCAGTGTCAGAACATAGAAGCAGCCCATCAAACTCATAAGCTTGTGCACCAAGAACGCCATGGTGATAGTTTCCAAAAATATCTCGCTGTAAATTTTGTGCCTGGTGGTGCTTTCTGATCGCTATACATTGGCTGACAAGCGTGGCCCCTCTCCCTGCTGTTGATAATGACTTGTGCTGTGATGCTTCTACCTTAGGGACTTACTTGATATTAATCTTCTGTATATGCCTCATGCCTGCCTATCCTACCTATGTTGTATAAACATTGCTGGCTATATATAGTTACCTACAGAGCCTGGGGGACTGTCAAGACTCATTAGGGAGAACTAATCTATTCAGCCAGGAGAGACTGATCTGTGCTTTGTCTTGAAACCAGCAGGAGTCTTTCTATTGATTTAACAGAGCTTGGTTCAGACCTCCACCTTTTCTCCTGCATGTGAGCAAGTTATTATTGATATGACTTAATCTAAGATACATCCTTGTGTGCGAAAACTTTCAGGGATGAAATTATTTTTTCTAGGCTAGGGGCAGCTTTTTGATCCTAGAAACAAATCAATTGTCTGAGTAACTAAGCAATGATTTTCAAATAAAAGCTCAAATTCTACAAACTGTGCAAACAAAGCTCTACAGTTTGCATGGAAAAGACTCTACTATATGACTGCTAGGCTGCTTGTTTGCTCCCTGGCCCAGAGTCTGCTGGGCACCTCTGATCCAGCTCTGAGTGCTACTGCTTAAACATGTAAGCAGAACTCCTTTTCCCTACTCTTCACGCCTCCCCATTCACAGCACTATGCGGTGCCAGATGCTGCAGGAAGCGAGGCTTGGGCAAAGACCGTTCTCAACAGCAGAATGAATGAATAAGCTTTTTATGAAAATTGATTTGAAACTAACTGAATGAGAAGGAAATTAAAACTGGGGAAACCAAGCAAGGTGGTAGCACGGAGCTGGAAGTGATCTGGTCCTGTTCAGCTGAGCGGACCATGGCAATGGCAGCCTGTCCCAGAATGGCTGGTGACACCTGTCCAGCTGCTCCCTGCCAGGAGCCGCAGAGTTGTTAGTTCATCCTCTCCTTGGGGGGCAGCTCTTCCCCCTCCAGTTTCCTCTCCCTGCTCATTTTGGCTCGGGCCTGGAAATTCTTGCTTCTTTTGCCACTCTGAGTGCCACACCAGCCTGAGCTGTGGCGTTGGTTATTACTGCGCTTTTAGCACTCTCAGGGCACTCAGGAGATGCGTGCAGCTTGCTGGAGACTTGGGGATTCAACAGGTGGCTAGCAGAGATTTCCTCACCAGCACAAGCCTGGCAGATGTGCCCGCTGGGTCTGCCTAGTCCTGTCTGGCCTGATTCAAATGACAGGCTCTGCAACGTGGTTGAAATGACCACAAAACAGCACTCCACCAGCATGCAAAGCCTGTTGTAGGGGAACATTCTCCAGCAGTGTCAGGCCAGGAGTCCTGCTATTGTAGGTAGCAATCCTTTGCCACACAACTGTACGAGAAAAAAAACATAAGAATAGTTTCTCTACTGCTGATTTTTTTTTTCTCAGCAAACTCCTTTTGAACTGTAGAAAATAATTTCAAAAAGCTGAATAGATCCTGTTTAGCATATCAGAAAACATCAAAATGGGGAATTTTTCCAGTAAGTTCCCTTTCTCACAGAGGATCCTCCGACTTGCTCAGAGCACAGCATGTGAGGGAGCTTAACAAAAGAGAAACCATATAAGCAAAGTGTGAGCTCCATATGTAGCTTTCCGTTAGAGAGCTTGGCATGAGACAGTCTTTCATCTGCAGAAAGCAGCAACTGACTGTCTGATTTCCCATTGACTCCTTAGGTGTATTTCATAATGAGATCCCTGAGTCCTAGAAAGGATGTGGAAAAATTACCCTGCTTGAAGCATAACATTGGGGAAGGAAATTCGGTAGTCAAGTGAAAAGCAAGAAGCTAACATTATTCCTGCTGGACAAGTGAGGGTTTTCAAGCACACCTTTGTGTGCTGGCTCTAACAAGCTAACCAAAGCCAGGTGCTGTGGGTGCAGTCCCCCAGGACCTTTTGACCTTGTGGAAGTCATGGGTCTTCTCCTGAACAAGTCCCTTCTAGTCCCTAAAAACATGTGTCTGAATATTCACCTGCCTCATACAGTCTTGTGAGCAGGACAGGTTTTGATAGCCATAGCAGAGCACACTGTGGTTTGTTCATTTCCAGAGGTTGCTGGCTTTTTTTGCTAGCACTTGAGTAAACGAGGCATCTGGTTCTGGGAGAGAAAATGCCAGCAGAATCTGGCCCTTCATACAGTGAGAAGTAATACATTGAGCAGCTGTTATTTTTCCTGCATTTCTAATGTAAATAATATATTTACAGCTACTGTGTCCTGTCCCAAATTCTGTTTGTATTGTCCTTTAAATGTTAACTTTCACAGTGCTAGGGTCTTAACAGCAGCTGACAGTATACTTGTGGTCTGACAGGGACTGAATTAAACCAGCCAAACTGTAATTTCTAAAGATAAAGACCAGAACAGGTGGTGTCATTTCATACTTTCTCTGTTTCCCTAATCACTTCTGGCTGAGTAATCTTGGGGGGGAAAAAACCCCCACTTTCGCTTCTAGAAAGGCTCTGTGTGAAATGACACTAGGGCTGTCTGCTAAGTTCAGAGGACAAGATTCACATCCCTAGGGGGCCTGATGCTGCCTGCTCTGCAGGGGCCAAGAATTCCACTGACTGGGATGGACTGTTCTCTTGCCCGGAAAGCTAACAGCTCGTGCAGATTGGGACAGGGAAGCTACTAGCTCACCAGACAGCCACACAGCAGCCTTTGGATTAAATGTTAAACAAATAAAAACAGGTTTTCTGTCACTTTTATTGACAGAAAGTTGGTTTCAAAGTAAAATTTACTACAGCAATGCCATCAATACCTCAGTAAGAGTAGCCAGTTGAGAGGTATTCACCTCAAACCTGCTCTAGAAGGAGTAACTTTTCCAGGTAACTGAGACATAAATTAAATGACCCCACTAAAGCCTAAGCATAAGCTGCACCAAGAAAAGTAGAATTGTTGTTTTGCAAGCACCATAGAAACTAAATTGAAAACTAGCACTATTTGTATAGCCACTGGGTAACCTGCTCTTTACTCCAATCATGTCACAGCAAATCCACCAGCATGAGGAAAGCATTTGTTTCATTGCCGAGTAGTTTCCATGGCAGTGGGAAATGGCTTCCTGAGCAATGCACAGTTACAGAGTTGACGTGGGGTCTCTGCAGTTCTCAAGCACTTTGCCATGATTAATTCCAGTGGACCTGGGTCTTAACAGCCACTTGTATCAGGAATTGAACAAGAGCAGCACCTCTCCACAGGAATTACTCAGCATCTCACAAAACACAGGGCTACTATTTTTATGCCAAGAAATAGCTCCCAGACTTGACATCTTGCAAGCTCACAATTTTTTTTTTTTTTTTAAATAAAAAAAAAAGCCTCAGCTCTTCACTACTTTAATTGCAGGTATTAGGCCCCTGTAACTGGATCCACAGTCTACATTTGTAGCTATGGATCCTTTACAACAGAGGGGTAGAGTTGGACTTTAGAGATCCTCAAGATTTAGCATGCTGAATAGGAAAATGCCTCACCTAAGTCTTGCAAAGTCCTGTAAGCAGGAAGGGGTGTGAATCCCAACCAGCTCAATGTCTTGGGCAATTTATTTTGCTCTTTTTCCAGTTAGGACTGTGCCAAGGAAAGGCAACCACAGTTTCCTTGGCCGCAGAACTGAACAGGGGTGACTGCTGAAGAAAGCAGCATGAGGAAGAGGATTTTCTGCCCTCCTTCCTAGTTTATATTGCAAGAGTTCACTTCTCCCAGAGGAAGGCCCTGTTTCCATTCCCTCCTCTGCCTGAGATGACCGAACTCTTCCTGCTGTCAGCACTTAAAGCCACATTCCCCATTTTCCTGGGATATTTTTCTTACAGATCTTTGTGAAAACTGGAGCCCCCAAGGGTTCTCAAACAGAGCACCTTAAAGGTGAAGGAACTGAAAAATCTTAGTCATTTCTGAAAGTTTTAATAGTTCTTTTGTTCTTTCTGGTTTACATGTTAAAAACGAAATATTTTTTTTTACTAGTAGTGATATTGGAGGAATAGATATATCTCTTACGTTTATAAAGAATGCATGTGTATTTCATACATAGTTTGTATCATGCCAATATAAAGGACAGATCTTATAGAATCAGCCTTGTCCGTGATGGGGGATATATATCGGCAAATATTTACTTTGCATGGGAAACTGCAAGCTCTACTCTGTTCTGCAGCAGTAGGAAGTCTTGTATGATTGCTGGCATTCTTGAGAGGGGATTCCAAAACAACTTGGCATCCTGCCCAACAATGTAATGGGCATGTGGATGGAGGCTGGTTAGGGCATGCTCCATGCACTGAACAACCGGTGAAATGTCCTCGTTAAGACACATCTTGGACAGCTTTTGTTTCTTTGCTGCATCTGTAAAGCTCAAAAAAAGAAGATCATTTAGTGACAGCCAGGCAAGGTGACTTTTAACTCTTCCCCTGCACTGATCTGTACAATTTCACTAAGGAACTGGTATTTCTTCTTTCTGCCTACACAAGAATTTGTAGCAGTTTCTGAGGACCAAGTCCCTGCCCGTAATGACCTTGTGATATCCTTGACCCCAAAAGCAGCCTAGTTACCCTTAATTGTGGAACAGTCATGGCAAAACTGGGCCTGTATGGTCTGAGGATAGGCAATCAGCATTGACAGTAGCTCAGAATAAACATAACTATATAAGAGGCAAAGGGAAACTGAAGTGCTGTAGTTGTAAATGAGTCTCTTGTAATGAGGAAACTGCTTTGTGGAAAGTCATGAAACACAATTATAAAGAAAAAAATCGAGGGACAAGAAAGTCCAAGGATCGAAAGACAAGCAGCCCCTGTTCAAGCAGGCTTAGCAAGTGTCTGTCAGACAGGTCCTGAGTGACTTCATCACGACTGGGGACAGCAGAAGCAAAGGGAATTGATCCCTATTTGATTACTAAACAAATAAACAATAATGACAGAAAAACACATCAAGCACATCGATTACATTATCAGATAAAAGTTTTTCTGTTTGGGAGTTTGCTCAAAAGCTTCATGCCAACACGAATAATTAATCATCAACTGAGATTTGAATAAAGCTTCTCAGAACAAGTCTTTAGTGCAGATAGTCATACTGTGATACAGATGCATTTGAAAAGTAACTTTTCCCATCACAGTCTTTCCAAAAAGTCAGAATGATTAGAAGATATAAAGCTACTTTGCAAAGCTTTCTCAGCAAGAAATGCATTGCTTCTTTTGATACAAATGTCTGGAAATTGCCTCACCTTTCTGAAAATAGTCCTCTCCATATTGCATTTTAATATCAGGGGGAAGCTTATTCCAAATAACCTCCTTCTCTTTCATAATTTTTGTTGGATTGGATAATGCTGTTTTGAACAGTCCAGGTTGAATGCAACAAACCTTAACTCCAAAAGCTTTCATATCTCTCCTGTAAAGACAGCCCAATGATTTAATCACATTACACATTATTAATACTTTGGGATTTTTTGCTGTACTAACACTTTTATTTCTGTCTTTACATGGCACACCAGCACACAAATACTGTGAAGGTTTGTTCATGGTTGTGAACTTTCAGATTGTTATCCCTAAATGAAAGAGGGATGAACTCTCATACCTGCTTCACAGAGTGAGAACACGCATGGGCAGTGACTGTGCAGTAGCTGGCAGAGTGTATTTCCCATCCTAGTTCACCTTGCAGTAGCTCATTAGTTATCTGATTTGTCTGTAAGACTGCCTGGCTGCCTAAATGCAAGAGGTTAGAGCCATTTTACATGTGTTAGGAAATCCTTCTCAACTTCTGGCTTATGCTCCAGATCGGTACAGTTCCTTCTGGCCCCACCTCATATCTGTCAGCCCTGTGTGGGTGTCCCAGTATCTAAAATGGCACTATATATTTAGGCACACAAATAGCTCCCTGTCTGTGTTACAAGAGGAAGCCATGGTGGTCCCCAGGATTAGTTTGCTACGTTCTCTAGATCTCTCTAATGATCAGGATAATAAAGAGAAGACACTTTGGAGAAGAAAGCTTAGACGAAAGTTACTATCATGCGATAACTCATGGTATGTATTTTTTCTGGATGGGCGGCTGCTGGAAGTTTCTAGTTGTACTTTTCAACTAGGAGAATTAGGTTCATATTGCAAAGACTTCTCAGTTCCCTTGAGTGGAGCTTCCTCTGCAATAAGGCCTCTGTGCACACTAAGGTAGGCTAGTTGTGAATCTGTAAGAGTACCAACTACACTGCAATAATACTTGAGGACAGCTTGCATGCCCAACAGGCTTTGTACCATTTCAAAAGTGGCATAATCTGTGTTGAGCAAAAGAACTTTTCAGAAGAATTAGTCCAAAGTGTCTAATGTTTTTCAATTTTATACCAAGTGCCAGGATTGTAAATCAGCTCCCAGTCTGCATGTGCCAGTTTTTAGTTAGTATATGAGCCTTAGGAAAAAAAACAGAGTGGTCTTTCCTCATAGTGAGTGTTATACCTTAAGCTGTCATTAAATCCTTCTACCCCAAACTTTGAAGCAAAATAGCCTCCACCACTGAATGCTAGGCGACCTCCAACACTGGATACATTTACTATCCTTCCCTTTGCTTTTTTTATCAAGGGAAGCATATTTATTGTAACATTTATGAGTCCAATTAAATTAACTTCAATTGGTTCTCTAAAGTGCTCAATATCCAGCCAGTCTGTAGGAGCTGATATCCCCATAATCCCAGCATTATTGACAAGTCCCCAAAGACCTGTAGGGAAAAAAAGAAGAAGAAAGTCAGGAAGCAAATTTTCATCTAATGTGTCAGATTAATTGAAGTGGGTGAGACTTCACAGAAAATCAGTGAGGGACCAAGAAGGCAATACAGATTTGGAGGAATTGCCTGAGAATGTCCTGCAGTATTCAGCCTTATTCTCAGTGTCCAGGTTTTATCACCATGCTTTCCATCACCCTTTGCGTAGTCTTCCCCCTGCCACAGCATTTTGGCTTTTTGTGGGGGAAAGGGCAGTAGACGAAGACCAGGTACGGCAAAGAGCAACTATATTGGGTGACAGGTACCAACTATATTGGTACAGGTAGATTGTCCTGAGACACAGGTAAGTGTGCCCTGGTTCTGAGATGGGTGAGGTGCCAGGACAATAAAGACCAGCTCTTGATAACAAAAAAAATTTTAAAATCCTTCTCAAAGGTTTGAAAACAAGATGGGAACTGTGTGACAGGGAAGGCTTTTGCTATTCTTTTTACCCCCACTGACATTTTTGTTGTAGCAGAGAACTTATGCCTCACATTGACTGACATGCCCCAGCTGGAAATGGGAAGGACTGGTTTTTTTTTTTAAATGAACAGCCAGCTCCAAAAAATGAGGTGGAGGCAAGGAAAAACCACTAGATTGATTTGAAAAACATTTCTGAGCCCTCAGAAGTGGGAGGGGAAAATACAGAAATGAAAAACCAGTTCTTCTCTTGTATCAGCTGTTAGAATTGTGTGAATGAATACTTTTGCTGGCCTGATCTTACTCATAGTTTTTCTTGGGGAAAAAATCACTTTTGGCCTGAAACCAAGCACAGTTTCAAATAAAAGCAATTTGGCAAGTTAAAAGCAATTTTATGAAGAGATGAAAGGTTGAATGGAGATTGGAATTTAGCATGAAGTATAATTGGTACTATGGCACATCATAATAGACCAGATTTAAGACTCAAAGTTAGCAGAATTCAGCCCATAGGATCTTGGGCCTTTGTAAACTACTGCGATACCACTTTTACTGAAACCAATTAGCATCAGTAACAGCAGCAGCATCTTGTACTGCACAACTTGCTGGGTCAGAGATAAGGGATTTTTCTATTTTTCAGATGGTCTGCAAGCAATATTCCAAAATATATTCAGATTTATTCAATAAAGTTCATATGTAATTTTTGCTTTTGATAGAATGAGCGATTACTTACAGATCATTTACTATATGTATTCAATTCTTAAAATAAAAACTCTTTAAACTTGCTAAGTGGAATTTATTTAATTTGTTCCCTAGCTGGGTAACAGCATGGGAGGTGCTGAGCACTCGTGCCATAACCCAGATAAGCATGTGAGTGCAAACAGTCCCAACGAAGGTTCCAGGGACTGGATTCCTGTTCTGACAATGATGTATTGATAAGCCTGACTTTTTGAGCACATTCCCAAATAGTTACCTACCACTAACTAGATGTATAAAACATCCCTCTAGTGAGATCTTCTTCCATGTTTCTGGAAGGGGACAAGACATGCACACACACTTGTCAACTGTCAGTTAAATTAAGCTGTGAACGTAGCATGGTGTTTTTAGGAAAACTGCTGCTTTTTTTTTTTTTAAAGACAGATATCCTGGCACTCACCTTCTGACTGAACTTCAGCTTTGACCCTTGCAGCCACTTTTTTAATACTGTCTGAATCTCTCACATCTAGCAGCACTGTCTGAAGCTGCTTCGAGGTCACAGCTTTTAACTCTTTGGCTCCTGTTTCAGTCAGACAGCTGGCAAAAACACGGAATCCCTTTTTATCAAAAACCTTTGCTGCCATATTTCCAAATCCTGTGTCACATCCAGTGATGAATATGTATTTTCCGGTAAGATTCGTAACCCTCATCCTCCTTCTTGCCCTCCAATGCCACCACAGAGAGATGATGCCAAGAAAGAATAATACGTAGTAAAGCATTTTTTACTGAAGTCTTCTGGACACGTTCTCCTGAAATGAAAAAAAAAAAAAAGGTGCTAGTTTTTCAGGGATTGCTAGTTAGTTGTTTTTCTTCTTTTTTTTCTTGAGTTGGCTAACTGCAACTATTCAGAGAAGCAGGCACAATTCAGAGCAGTGGCCTCCTTGTGCTAAAACAAACAAAGTCCTTCCTTGAGCAGAAATGAGAACTGGAGATTGTAATAAGTGTACAAAGAATAATGCTGTCCATATTAGGTTACTGCTGCCAGGTCAGTAAGCTCCCATTGAACATATCTGGGAGAAATGCTGACTAGAAAAGTCTAGCAAAAATTAAATGGAAACCAGAAAAAAAAAAAAGAATGGAAACCAACAGAAATGTCTGAACTTAGTGTCAGTTCAGAGAAAATTAAAGAGTGAGACTGGAGCCAGCTGGCAACAAACGGTCAAGCAAGATCAGCAGGACCCAGAACCTTTCTTGTTACTGTGGACATGTACGCAATGCTAGCCACGAAAAATTATTTACTTTATTTTACTAAAACCTTTGGTTGCCAGCGCCAGACTCTCAAGAAAGAGAGTAGCAATTACTGCCTCCTTGCCTCTCAAGAAATACATCCCCATCAGCTAGGCTGTGGGAGTGTGCACGTGATGGTCCCTGAGCACAGGAAGGAGGGTGCAGGTTGGAACACTTTGCCTGCCGGAGTGAAGCTCAGGCAGTGTGACAACATCAGTACTGCAAAATATGTTTGGAAAGAGCCTGCATATCTGGGATTATACTCCAATTGACTTAATAGTGCACTTGTAAGTAACTATTGATGATGGATGAAATTCCGCTTAGAGAAAACAATTCAGTTATACTTCTTCATGAGTGCTCATGGTCCAGAAAACAGGAGATGCTTAATGCAATCGACTAAAAAAATAATTTTAACTAGATGTAAAGGAGTACAGACCTTTTTAGAGATTGCTTACAGACAATCCGTCTCTGCAGGGCAAGATGCAATGAGTTGCATTTACTATGGTCAAATTCTCCTCTGGCAAAACCTAATTTAGAAGGAAATTGCAAACACCTGACATGTTTTTAAGTATCGTAATAGGAACAGGAATACTGCTTTTATTTTCTGCACGTAGAACTGCTTTCTGCTCTGACATGGGAGGTTCAATATATCTCCATTTTTATCGCAAGCCCCGTGGCTGCTCATGGTGCTTGTTTACATAAATATGTGTGCTGGTGAAATGCAGCTTCTTGTGCTGGCTGGAAGTTAACCCGGGTGTTGCAAAAGTTGCAATGCAGAGATGCTAGTTTTTGTTGCTTAACTTCCTCTGCAGCATCAGTAGTGAAGAAAGTATGAAGAAGTGATTAGGTAACCGCCTCCCCTGTGTAGTATTTCAAACTTCCTTTAAGACAAGGAAATTTTTCTCTCTGCATATGTATGCACGCACAGCAGACCCAGCACAGCGGCCGGCTTTCCTTCTCTTGCAACCCTTATTAAAGTTACCATTCTCTTTATAATATCCCTTGCTCTGCTCGGAGCTGCCATATTCCTTCGCAGCCTTCCTTCGCCTGCAGCTGACTAGCAGCCTGGGCAGTCCCTGGCTGTTACGCCTGAGAGCCAGAGCCAGCCTGGCTGGCGGCGGCTGTGTGGAGACATGCCCTCCTTGGCACAGAGGCACCGTTTCCCTGCCGCTCCCGTCCTCCCACACCTCCCTGCCCCTGGAGCTCAGCCATGCCGGACACCCGCACCTCGCGTGTGTGAAGCCTGTGCAGGCTCCGGCCACGGCGGCAAACCAGGGGGCCCAGGGACGGAGGTTGGAGAAGAGTCCCTCCAGAGAAAAGGGGGAGGCAGAACTGTGTTTCATCACGCCCTACGTCAACTATAAAGTAGATACAAAGCATAACTAGTCAATGAGCAGAAACAAAACGGAGTTTTGGCCTGATCTGCAACCTCGTCAATAAATAAAAATAAAAGCCAACCTAGCTAGACTGAGGGAAAAGGCCTGTTTTTGCCATGGCAACAGGCACGTCTACAAACATGGGCCTTAGACGATCAGGTTAACTTCTGGTCCCTGTGATCCTTAATCAATGGGTCGGTGGGACTTTATATCAAATTAATAAAGTGCTGAAATTACAAGGTTTTCAGTTAGACGGCTTTGTACAGGCTGTGTTTCCAACTCCAGCCTGCCAGGGAGACTGACAGGTCCAGTGCCTGCCCACAGCTTTGCAATGTAAAGATCTACCTCCAATTTTTTTATAGGGGCCACAAACCAAAAAAGGAAAAAAGCAAAGGGCTCATCAAGAAAAAAAATGTATTTCTCCCTGGTTTCCAGGAGGGAGAGTGATAAGCAGCATTCAGTCAGAAGCCCCAAAGGCATTTGAGTGGTGGCACTGAAGAGTGTTTGGGAAAGGGAGCGGAGGCGCAGGGGACAGGCAGGCTCATGGGGACGTGCCACCTCCTGACAGGAACAGGCGAGGTGACCTGGGGCCGGTTGCCCAGAGGGTAGGGCAGGCACTCTCAGAGAAGTCTTTTTGAAGGGATTTTTTTTTTTTTTTTTTAATTTTAACAAGGTGAGTCACTTTATTTTAATATGAATGTTATAGTTTGCATTTAAAGTTTACTGGCTTGGTCTGTTTTGTTTTTTAGAAGTGTTGTTGCTACCTCTGCTATTTTTATTTGCACCAGTGTTTGGAATGGAGAAAAAAAGTCCGTACCAGCTTCTAGACTTGGGTAGGATCAACAGGATAAGTGAGTGCATGTCCTGCTTCTGGTATTTTCCAAGAGCAGATGGTGAGAGGCTAACTATAGAAACAATGCGAGTTACTAGAGGTTAAGTCCCTTGCTGCCTACCTCCTGGCCTCCCTGCTGGACCCACTCCAGATGGTATTTTGCAGTTTCAGTACAGCATATTTTTGTGACCAAGAAATAAATACACCATGACTTCCTGTCTCTGATCATGATTTAGACCAGGGGAGAAGAAACAACTTTGTTTCTTTCTTTGTGCTAGCCTCCCACCTGGAGGTATCCTCTCCCAATAATCACCGACTTGGACTTTTTACTTTCCATAACAAGAGAAAGTCATGTTCACAGAAACACCCCCTCTGTGCTTGGAGGTACTTTCCTTATTTCACTGTAAGGAAAGTATCTCCTATTCCCCATTTCAGTATGAAGAAATGTAGTTTGATTGCCAAAAAAAAAAAAAAAAAGGAAATTGACTTCTCATCGACAAACAGCTTTTTGCTTGCAGCAAAAATGATAAAACTCAGCCATCCAAAGAGGAAGTCTTGCTCTTAGGTGCAAAAAGGAGGCTTCCATGTAGAACACTTGCTAAAGATCTTTGGAAAGGACAGTAACTTTCAAAATCATGCTGCATTGAAGGAAATAATGTACATACGCACCTCATGGGATTGACATAATTCCATTTTTAATAGCATAAATCACAAATCACTAAGCTCAGTGTAAAATTCACTTTGCATTGTACAAAGTGAATACTAAGTCATGTTTGTGTAACTGCTGTGGTGCCAAGAAAAGAAGAAGACACAGCATGTGGGTACTTGCCAGCCTGACTAACTGTGAGTGCGTGGTGACCTTCCCTGCAGCTTCCCACTCCTCCAGTCTCTGTCCTGATCAGAGTGTCACAGAGGACGTTGTTCTCTTCCAGCCCAATTTTGTTGGTTTTGTCCTCTAGATACCTTTATAACTGTGATAATTTTTTTAGATGAATTTCATAAAGAGTATTTAACAAGTGACACTCCAAGAACAGATGTAGAAGTCATCTGTCTATTAATTCAAGCTGCAAACTGTACCTGCTTTATTTCAATGTCCCTTACCTTACCTCAAGGTACCAAAAGAGAGCTGTAACTTGCTTTTATTTAGAGTTCACTTTACTTTCACCTTCATACTATTCAGGTGAAAAAATTGAGCTAGCATGTGGAGCAAAATAACAAAAAAAATTTCAAAAACTGGGAGAAATAAAGAAGCGAACAAAGTGTTTTCCTTTGTTTTTCAAAGGAGCAGAGGACAGGAAGATAAAGCATCATGCAGAAGCAGAAGTGTACTACAATACTGAGATCTGCCTTACACTTCTGACACTCCGAGGTGCTATCACTGTAAGTGGCACAATTAAGATGGAGATTATACTCAAGTGAAATATCCAGGGTCTGGCTTCTTGGGCCCGGAGCCACTGTATGCTAGTTACAGAAATAAATTTGGCTATGAATGGTTAAAAAATAAATTAATGAAGCGTAAGAGCTGTCTGCTCAATGCCTTCTGTCAGGCAAGAGAGTCCAGGCTGCTGTACTCGCATACAGACTTTAGTGCAACACACAGCAACAAGCTGCTCATCTGGAGTCTCAGCCTGCAGTGGCAGACTGAGTCTATTCACCGGCTGGAAAACTGTGGCCACCTACTCCTCCATAGCTGTGAGCACTCAGTGCTAAATTTCTGGCTATCTTTAGAAAGCCTTGGAAGCATTTTATTTGATTGCTGCTACTAGCTGTTGGCCATACTGGAATAAAGATCAATAGGTTATAGACTACAGTTTAGAGCTGAGGAGTCCTGTGCCAAAACAGTGTGTGGGCTTTCATTTCTTACTGAGAAATTATCTGTACGAGAATAACTAAGATTAATTTTTATTCACTTCCTCTTATGAACTGCTGGAAAAAATCCAGAGAAGAGAGGATAACTTCATTTGGAATGGTAATATGCTGGAATAAACGGCTACTCAAATTGAGGGAAGAAGCAGTTATTTTACTGTGTTTGGCTCAATGAATTGTGATCTTTTTCTTCCTGTGCAAAGAGGTATTAAAATGACATGAGCTGTAAGCAAAATGTTTCCCTTCAACTCAGACCACAACTGAGGGGAATTTTCCTGACAGTACATCTTTCATGAACTAAATAGTATCTATAGCCTACCAAAAATCAGAGATTTTGCATGTGTCCCCTATGGGAATTCAGGGATGGGAGCATCTCTTCTCAGTCTCCTTGATTTACTGAAGTCCTGCTCTCTATTGT